TGCCTCTTCTGACCTTTTTAATTATTGGGTCTTCCCCCATTCAATCCAAATGGATATAAATCCCTGTGGTTTTAATTTTTAACAATCTCCAATATTCAAGATTTATTTTTAGCAATTAGTTGGGCTTGGGCCCTCGTCAGCTTCCGAAGATCAAAATCTAAGTGAAATGGGCCGGGATACGCAAGCAGGTTCTTCCAAAAGCGAAGCAGTAAGAGTTGAGTCTCGCGGAAGAAATTAGTCTTACGCATGACGAAGTAAGATTTCAATCTATTGGGAGAGCTGTGTACGTTTAGTGCTTGACAGTACTTTAAATAGGTCCAATAGGAGGATACATATAAGCAAGAAAAAAAAAAAGCGACGTATTGGGAAAGGGGCGCCATACACGGATACACCGACTTTGTGCTGGAGTAGATCATACTGGAAGAACGGAACGAAGGCGAAGAAAGAGGGGGCTGAAACGCAAAAGAGAAGAGCGAGATGGAGGAAAAGACGAATCCAGGAATAAGCGGTGATGCAATGGAGAGGATATCAGAGAGGCTATCGCCTTTGGAGAACCTATACTTCCCTCGCGCTTTGCAATCAGCTGCCGCCGACCCTTCTCAACGGAAGGCCATCTTTTCCGACCTTCTTTCTCGAGACGTCGCCCTTTTCTTAGGTGATTTCTCTTTCTTCTCTCTCTCTCATAATCTTCTTCCAAAGCCTGTAGCTGCAGTTGCGAATTCCTCAGTTCAATTATTCAAGTAAGCTGAAGTGTAGTTTAAACAACAGGCAGCTAAAACAGTTGTTTCAGCATAATGAGACGTTTTCGATTGGCGGCTTAACGCGCCGGAAATTTTACTGATGTTCTGTATTGATTAAGTCTTTTTTCCTTGGCTTGAATCTTGCATAGAACGGTATGGGTCCCTACTTACAAGCAATGAACTGCGCGAGTTTGATGCGCTGAAGTCTGACTATGAAATCAATTGGCATTTGAAGCGTCTTTGGAGCATAATGAGCCCAACATCGGAGGAGTTGAGGATGAGGTCAGTCACTGTGAAGAACCGAAGGCGGGCATACTTGGATAAATTGATGTGCGATGGAGACTACTTTTCGGAAGATGCAATGAGGGAGAGAGAGCCGTATCTACATCACGAGTATGTGGGGAGATTTCAGGACCAAAGTGGCAGAGGCATGGCAAGGCCTGGAGAGCGGTGGTCGGAGACTTTGATGAGGAGGTCAGAGGAAGCATTCCTCGTTGCAAAAATTAGAGGGGAGCAGCAGAGGTTAGGCGTGGCTGAAAGGGACTGGATTGGTAATGAGAGGATTCAGGAGGAAGAGGAGGAGGAGGAGGAAGAGGAGGAAGAAGAGGAGGAAGAAGAGAGGAGGAATGTTACTCGTGATAGACACCCTACTGCGGTAAGACACTATAAACTTACTTGCATTCTGTTTTGGGTTTTATGAGATATATGTCTATTATATTATTGTGTTTTCTACTTTGTCGTTGATGTAGAGGCATAATTGTTCTCTATTATGTCATTTACAACCGTTAGCGAGTGAGCTGGCTGGCAATCTTGATGTTCTTTCATGATATCTTGCATTAGATCCTTGTTAATATTTGGTTAATTTGGTTTAACTAGAAGTACATTAAATATTCTGCATGTTATACAATTCAGATACTGTCCAACTATTTTGATCTCACATCATCTTTCCTCACCAAGATGTCAGGGTACATTCTTTGATTTAATGTTGACCAAGTTGAAGGAGCTTCCCTTGGGGCGATGAGATGATAAATTTGAAACCTCAATGACGTGAACTCTTGCATGTTTGGTCATATGGTTTCAAGTTGGTTCTCAATGATGTCATGGAAATACTGAAGATGACAATGAACATTGAATTGTTTAAATATAAAACCATTCACCTATAGGTTTTGATCATCCTCTTTCCGTTTTTTTTTGGGGCGTTGTGTTGTTTTCAAGGCAATTAATTAAAATCAGTCTGGGCAGTCAAATTGGTACAACTAGCGGATGGGTACTGGACCTAGTTCTGAACTAAGCCTAAACCAGACTAAAGGAAAACTGGTAAAAAACTGGGAAGCGCCCAGAAAGCCAGCTGGTTTACTTAACATCTGGTTTTTGGAAACCAAAAACCGGAAGTTTGTGGGCCTCATGGCTAAGAAAATACCACAGCGTCTTACCATGCTCAAGCTGATGGTCTTTCCCTTCCTTTTATAAACTTGGTTCTCGCTTCTTTCATAGTCTTTAGTTGATGTGGGGCTTCAAGTAACATAAGGTGGTTTAATATGCAATGAGGCAAAGTTTGAGCACGAAAGTGAAATTTGTAGCCTGCAGAGTTTGAACACATGATTGTCATGAATTATGGCATCCATGGTATCACCAAGTGCATCTATCTTCTCCTCCTCCTCCTCTTTTGCTTCCCCTTTCTTGCCTTCTCAGATTTTCCAAAACCCAAATTGCTGGGTCGCTTCTTACTCTCATTCATCAGGTCAAATGAGCTCCAATTAAGTTCTAGCGACTCTTCTGCACTTGCATTGTATGGAACTTGCCGATTTGCCGATTTGATGGAGAAAGCTAAGCTTTTGGAGACTCTGAATATCCTATTGAGACTTGCTACATCACCATCTTTGGAGAAAGTGGAAGCTAATTGCCTTTTGTTCTTTTAACAAAAAAATTATTTTTTTCCCTAAACAGATGAAATATCAGATATAAAACTTTAATTAAATATGAGTGATATTTTTTGGTTAAATATTATATGCTTAATATTTATTCCTTGTATTTTTAGTGCCCTTCTTTAAAAAATAACTTTTTTTTTTGGTTATGATCAGTTCAACTATGATCTGACTGGAGAACTGTGAACTAGTTTCTCGATCGATTGAATGACCAATTGGATTTTTGATACTTACATTGTTTTTAGAATCTTGATTGGTATTTTAACCTCTGTCCTTTTGACATGTTAGTCGGAACTCACAAGATAATCCACCTCTACTTGGCTCAATCCTGACTGCCTTGTGCTTTTATGCTGTTCCACTCCCTTAAGTATAATATCCTTGGTATCTACTATGAATTTTCATCTACATTTGGCCCGTAGTGGAACAATATACTGTTGCAGCTGATATGAATAAATCAATAATAAGAGATGGCATGTGGATACCCTAAATAGTATTTCGAGTAATTCCTTTTTCTTGATGAAGTGATAATATATGATTACTTTGACACATTTTATTATGACTTAGTGTTGAATGTTTCGTTGTCTTTTTTGAGAAATATTTGATTCCTTGTTAATGTGATTATGTTGCTTAAACTTTGGTTTTCCATTTTATCAATAATGTGAATTGCCTATATTGAATATTGATGATTGGTGAAAGTGCTATTACTTCCGGTCCTTAATCTAAGAGCTAATTGATTGATTTGAGGAGGTTAGAGAAATTAGTTAAGTTAGTTATTTGTAATAAATAATTGTTGTTTTTCCTAAAATATCTTTGCTAATCAATTGCATTGGCTAGAACTACTATTATTACAAGGACTATTTTGAAAAAAATGGATAAATATGATAGACAAAATAGATTGGGATTTTATATTTAAGATCAAAATATAAGCCAAACGAACTTTTATATTAAAGATTGGATGTAGTATTTAATGTCTAATGGTTTTGGATCTCTAGCTTGCGGGAGATTGTAGAGTGCCAAAATGAATACCGTGTTGAATTAATGAATATAATATTTGCTGGCACTTGCAGGCGCACTTAAATCACTCGGATGATCCATCGGACCAGACAAGGGAGAACGAGGAATCATCTTTATCTCCGGAAGAACTGCAGGATCGTTTGAATCAATTCACCTACATAATGCAGCAGAAGTTCTTGCTGGGGGAAGATCAAGAACATTTAGATTACTCTAGGATAGACAATGATGAGACCCTTGACGATCATTGGCAGAGGGAGGCCAACGTTGATGCAGAGGAGAAGTATTTTGCTGATGATTAGACTGGTAATCAGATGTGCAGACATTACATGTATTTCACCGTTCACTAATACGGTTTATGTTCGTAATTATAAAGGTTAGATTATTCAGTATCAGTTCGATGTTTGTTGCTTATTGTGTTTACCTGCATCAGTCACACTGCAATTCTACGTTGGGGAGCCTGGCCCTAAGGGCCAGTTTGATATGCTGAATTTGGGGTACAGATTATAGTATAGAACTGGAATTGGGGATGCTTGATAGATGGAATTTGTCTATTTCACCGGATAGATGAAATCGCAAAGAAATGAAGTAAAGAATAGTTTTATAAGAATGCATTTTGTTTATTTTCTAAAATTAATAATAAAATTATATATTATTAAATATTAATTATAAAAACATAAAAATATTAGTATATATTTTAATTTCTGTAACACAAAGTAAAATTCCTTTTTCCTAGCGCAGCAGTAGTACAGTGATGAATCTTAAATTTTAATCCCATCTATAATTCTAAGCCCATCCATTGCTTGCCGACATCATTCATGGAAGGATTCTTTCGAGTTTTGAATAAAATTCTTGGTAGGTAGCCTTCCTTATGGGAATGGCACCATATATAATATAGGACTAATCGAGTGCACAGTGCTCACTCTTTTTGTGATCGTTAAAAACTAGAATTTAGGTGGACCATTATCAAAGGAAGTCATAGAATAAGTGTAGGTGAAAGACGTGCTGTGTTATTGCAGAATTCGTATTCTGATGAGTCTCAAATCTCGATTATTTATACTGTGGATGGAGAACTAAATGAGAAAATCCCAAAGAAAGAAATGGTATTAGAACAACAGGAGTCAAAAGAAAATACACACAGAGAGAGGGAGAATAAAATAGTAATAGGATGAGAGGTACTCTGAGCACCAAAAAAAAAAAGTAATTGGGCCCAGGAAACGTGACAATCACGTGCGGTGCAGAGGATGGCTATTGGCTACGCTGGGAGATTCTTCCCAAGGAAAATGCAGGGTGAGCTGTCCTATAATCCTGTCCCGCCTGTTCATGGGCACCAATATTCCCGAATTCGAAACAAACATTTTGGAAGCCTATATGGCTATATGCTATACTAGTCGATCTTATATTAGAGGTGATGCTCATAGCATTTTTGTTCACGCCACACTCTTTTCTCGTCCTTCCTTTCTTCCCCACATCCATATCCCTCCCCAGACCTAACCCCTTACAGGATTGCATAGATTTGTGCCATGGCTTCTCCGCCAGATCTCTAAACTGCCTCCAAGATGCTCTACTTTCGCGATTGGCTTTGCGAGCTATGACTCGGTGCCATTTTTGTTAATTTTGCGATTGGGTAAGTTTTGAGAGGTGGAGGCATGTACAGAGCGCGAGGTGTTGTTGGGTCCAAGTCCGAGGTGGGTTCGGTTGATCGCAAGCGCATCAATGACGTCCTCGACAAGCAGCTCGAACGATCCTCGCCGTCCACTTCCAGGGCAGTCAAGGCGAAGGACAGTGCGGCGGCGCAATCCATTTGGGCTGCTAAACTACCCTATGATCACAGGGACGCTCACTCTGCCTCTGTCTCTAAGAACTCCGATGCCTCTGATGGTTAGAATCGCTTTGAACTTATTTCTTTTACTGTTGTCGAAAGCTTTGTTCTTGTCTGGTCTTTTTTTTCACCCCCTTATATTAGGATCCGATCTGTTTTCCATTGTATTAATAGCACAGGAGTTCAATTTTTTGTTTCTTGACAAAGCCTGTTTGGTGGGAGGGAACTTCGATGGAAGATGATAGAAAACTATTCATATTACCTTCGTTTTTCCCCCTTGACTTTTGTATTTTCTACCCTCATTTTTTTCCTTCTGGACAGCATCATGTTTTGTACCACTTCGAAAGTATCGAAATTGTGTAAGCTTGTTGCAGTAGGGATTTTACGTTCAACTTATCTGATTGGATATATGAGAGGCATATCATAGAAAGCCAGGAGGTAGAAACGTTGGTATGATATCTGCTAACTTATTATCCTATTGGCCTACCGTTTACAGGTTGATATGTGTGTACATAGTTCCTTTTGTCTTCGAAATTTTATCATTGTTGGTTCTATTGGATAAAAACTGAAGAAGAAAAAAAATGTCAGCTCTCAGCAGAGCTGGACATATTGCCAAAGCGGAGGTGAGAGCTGAGAATAAGAATGTAGGAGAAAATCGGAGAGATAGAATGTTTTTATGAACATAATGTAGAACTGCTAAGACTGACATTAATTAGCTTACATTTATCTTGTACGTATTGGCTGCAGAGGAATCTGAAACAGACAGTGAGGCATCAGATGTTAGTGGTTCTGATGGGGATGACACCTCTTGGATCTCATGGTTTTGTAATCTAAGAGGAAATGAATTCTTTTGTGAAGTTGATGATGATTACATACAAGATGATTTCAACCTTTGTGGATTAAGCAGTCAAGTTCCTTACTTTGATTATGCCCTTGATTTAATTTTGGATGTTGAATCCTCTCATGGTAAGCGTATGTTCATATTCATATATTTCACTTATCAGTTTGGAATGCTGGATATGGGTTTCTCATGCTGCCTATGTCGTTTGACCGAATTAATTCAACTATTTCTCCTCAAAGCTAAATTCAATTTGTTCATTGATATGAATGCTTCTCTGATTGCCTATCTGATACTTTTGCACAATCATCGTTATCAATAATAATATAAACTGTAACGAGTATTGGAGTCGCATCTCAGGCATCATACAGGTACACAGGATCCTCTGTTCTGTAGTTTGTATATATAACAATAGCTTGACTGGATTGTATAGGTGACATGTTCACAGAGGAACAGAATGAGTTAATTGAATCAGCTGCAGAGATGCTTTATGGTCTGATTCATGCTCGATATGTTTTGACAAATAAAGGAATGGCTGCTATGGTGAGTTTTCCCTCAGCCTTCTATGTTCTATGGTTTACTGTGGCTATTGTTGGCACTTCTAATGATGTTGAATGCAGATGGAGAAGTACAAAAACTACGACTTTGGCAGGTGTCCAAGAGTTTACTGCTCTGGACAACCCTGCCTTCCCGTTGGTCAGTCAGACATTCCTAGGTCAAGTACTGTGAAGATATACTGTCCTAGGTGTGAAGACATCTACTATCCCCGGTCCAAGTATCAAGGCAGTATCCTTATGTAAATAAATCCATTGAAATATTTAACCCTTTTGATTTGATTAAAAGGATATCCTATATTATTCTTTGAGAGGAATTTTTTTGCGTACTCTGTTTTCTGAATTTTGAAGAAAAAGAGCAAAACTAGAACTAACAACATTTTTTATCCCCAGGAGAAGAAAGTTTAACTTGATTATACTGTGATCTTTTCTATTCGATAACTCAGACAACTATTCATATTGTTGATTGTCAGGTTTTTCTTCCCATTCTATCGAACTTTTCTTACTGTGACTAAATCCTGAGTTTGATATGGTATTTGGAATGGCTGCTTTTTGCTCTATGCCTTGGCTTTTGTAATCGTGGGCTCAACTTTATGGGCGAACAGTCCATCCTGTAATTCTTATCAAAGTATCCTTAACGCATATAGATGTTGATGGAGCTTATTTTGGAACCACATTTCCTCACCTCTTCCTGATGACTTATGGCCATCTGAAGCCACCAAAACCATCGCAGAGCTATGTTCAAAGAGTTTTTGGTTTCAAAGTTCACAAGCCCTGAAACTGAATGAAATTTCACCAAAAGAATACTCTGGACATGTCGAGTTTAACTCACTCTGCAGTGTCACATCCCCTGAAAAGCTTAGTGGATAATAAGCGGGATGGCATCTTTATTTCGTATTCTCGGTATTCTTCAGTTTTGTAGAGATATACATTGGACATGTCCTGCTGGCAGCACGTGCTTAGTTTTGATTCAAATCCCATCAGCCTTAATCCCATATAAGAGAGAATCAACGAGCTTTTGTAAAAGTTGTTTAGGAGGTTAGGTAATCGGTCCAGATGCACATTTATTGATGTTTTTTCTTCCATGAACTTCTACTGGTGTATTTCTAATTGTTCTCTCATACCAAACCTCTCTCAGTAGTTGTTTTGATTGTGGGCTTACTATTGCTAACATCTGCCGCATTTATAGCATTTCTTCATTTACATAGCATTGGAAACTTGGGATGGACCATTTTTATACACACACACACACATATATATATATTTTATATGCACATAGTTCTACAGTTGGATAAGATAATGTGTTCATAAAATGCTGAGAGCTGTGTACGGGAGTTGCTATTTTGTGGGAGGGAAGCTGTGTCTTCTTGCGGGCGACCCAACAGAATATGTCCCTTTCAGCCGCAGAAAACACACGTCACCCAAATTTTTTCTGCTCATCTGTCTAGTAGGACTGAAATACAAAACCGACGGGTGACACATTCTCGTCATTCCAACGCTGTAACCATCTCAGCTCCAATCCCTCCCCTCCCCCACCCCCCACCATTTTGATCTTTTTATTGGCATGCTTTTCATACATGTTACGGTTTCCATCAAGGGTTACCTGGACGTAACCGTTTACTGTGGGACTTCCGTTTTGTTTTGACAACGAATCCCCTGTGACGTCGCTTTGAATTTTGATGGGGAACCTGTTGTTATTTATTCCGGTCTTTAGCGCACTCGGCTCATCAGTTTCTAGTCCGCAGATACAATTATCTCTTTTAATTGTCATTTTGTTGTGAAAAGTGCTCACTTAGTTAATAAAAATTATACTACATGATAATTTGAAAAGCCCAGACTCGACCAAAATATTGACAAAGAAATGGCCATCAGGCTGTCTCTCAGGCCTCACTACCAAGAGTCCAAGATTACAGTACGATGGTCGGAATCTGAGTCACACTACAAGGAAAGCGCTCTGGGACTGGGAGTTTAATTGCCACCGCTAGCAATCTTGGTCTTTTCCCCTCATTTTCAATAAATAATGGTATGGTTCTGGTAAAAAAAAAAAGAAGATAAATAATGGTATGGTCCAAAATTATTTTAACTTGCAGATTCATCTTAACTTTTTAGAAGTTATATGGGAAAAGATTCCGGAAAAAAAAAAAAACGGCACTTTGAAAATTTTGTACTGATATTTTGATTTTTTTCAACAACAGAAGTTTTAACGGGAGCTTTTTTTCTCCTCAATTTTACCAATTTATCTTACCCTAACTGGCGTCTTATTTTATCAAGAAAAAGAAGCCATATCTAATCTAACCTTGGATAATACGTGCTCTACTATTGATTTAAAACACGTTTTTTTAAAAAAAAAAAAATCAGCGTGTATAATATAATCATCTTCCCACTAACTTTGCTCCATAAAAATATCGCCATTTTATTTTCTGCAGAGCTCTAAAAGTTCTCAAGAGCCTGTGTCTGTGTGATTTGCCCATAATTTTTTTGTCTGAGCAAGCGAAAGCCAAAACAAAGGCAAGGGAGAGGATAGAAATGGACTAGCTTCTCCTGGAAACTAAAAGTGCGTAAGCCCTGGATTTATTCGAAGACCTAGGGGGTTCTTCATCTCAATTTGTTGTTGCGCTATGGCATCGGTGAAATTTAATCGGGGCAAGGAGGAATTGGTGGAAAGAGCTATGTACAGAGAGCGAGCACCTGTTGGGTCCAAATCGGAGGTGAGTTCCGTGGATCGAAAGCGAATCAACGCCGTTCTCGACAAGCAGCTTGAGCGATCCTCGCCGTCCACTTCTAGGGCAATCAACGGCAAGGATAGGTCGGTGCAATCTGTATTGACGGGCAAGCCACCGGCTGATCACAAGGATTCTCGCTCTGCCTCCATATCTAAGAACTCTAACGTTTCAGATGGTAAGCACACATCTCTTTCTCTGGATGACCATTCTAAAAACGAGTTAAAGTCATTTTCTTTTTGCGTGGACGCTTGCGTTATTATTGGTATTTGATATGTTTTCCAATTGCAATAGTTCTGGTTACTATGAGTTGAAGTATGAGGAAAATGGAAGAAAATTCCTACATTTTACGAAGAAGATAAGCATTGTGCGCGCGCATTTTAATATATTGTTTATCCCATTACTAGACTTGTTGTACAGATAGATGGTTGACAAAAAGGCGGAGGCGTGGTGAGATAGGCAGATAGATAATAGTACCTCCTGTGATTAATAGAAGAGCTAGTTGATTAATTTGAGTGGATTAAAAAAATTAGTTTAGTTATTTGTAATAAATAGGAATTGTTTTTTTTCTAAAATATTCTTTCAATCAAATGTATTAGCTAGAATTACCCTTACTATAACGACTACTTTGGGAAAAAAATGAATATAAAAGACAAAATAGTAAGGACCAAATTAAAAGTCAAACTAGTTTTTATATTAAGAACGGAGGTAGTATATGCTTGATTATTATAGTGCCAATAATGACATTGATGAATAATGAGCTGATAAAAATCTTGTATGCATTAGTTGCAGAGGAATCGGAAACAGACAGTGAGGAGTCAGATGTTAGTGGTTCTGATGGAGATGACACATCTTGGATTTCATGGTTCTGCAATCTAAGAGGAAATGAATTCTTTTGCGAAGTTGATGATGACTACATCCAAGACGATTTCAACCTCTGTGGATTAAGTAGTCAAGTTCCTTACTATGATTATGCTCTAGATTTAATTTTGGATGTTGAATCCTCCCATGGTAAGCCATAGATTCTCATTTTTAGACTTCTTATGCAAGACTAATATATGATGGGAGATTTTGTATTACGCTTTACTATGACTCTGCTACAAAATTTATTTGCCTTTAACATTCTAAGATGAATTTAGATTACATCTGTATGCCTGTAACTCTTATAAACTTTCTAATTATGCAATGATTTGATTTGTGTAAGTGCTAATATTGGATGGTTGGAATTTTTAGATTACATGTTCTCAGAGGAACAAAATGAGTTAATTGAATCAGCAGCAGAAATGCTTTATGGTCTTATTCATGCCCGGTATATATTGACTGGCAGAGGAATGGCTGCTATGGTGAGATTCGGCAATCACTGATCGCTGCTTGGATGGTTTACTGCTATAAGAAATTGGCACTGATAAAAATGTTTTTTCCCAGCTGGACAAGTACAAAAACTATGATTTTGGGAGGTGCCCGAGAGTTTACTGCTCTGGACAACCCTGTCTTCCAGTTGGTCAGTCGGACATTCCTAGATCAAGTACTGTGAAAATATACTGCCCTAGATGTGAAGATGTTTACTATCCGCGGTCCAAGTATCAAGGCAGTATCCTTATATTTAGTGTTGAAAATTTTCTGTTCCAGTTTTAGCGTCCTTCTCTCAATCTATGCTTTTTATATTCGTTGTTTAGTCTGTCAACTAAACTTGCCATTTTGGATTTGAGCCTGAATCACAGTTGAAAAGAACCGACTTGCTTTGCTAGTTTATTCTAGGAAAAGACATGGAAGCCCCTTTCCAGGAGAAAAATCATTTTAATGCTATGTGACTTTAGTGTATTACTATTTAATACTATGCATTATAGGTTGACACTTGTCCTAGTTAGTTACTGTTTGTTGTTTATTTTCAGTTTATGTTGTGTGGGAAAACAGTGTAATTTGCATTTCCAACAGCTCCATGTCAAAATCATGAAAACCAGGTAGCTCGAGGAAAAAATCCACAGAAAAGTGGAGGCCTTTTCTGTAATCTTCTAAAAGTTTTGTGAATATTAATTATGCTAATTTAATATTTATTTCTCTGATTTTTTTTGCCTTCTGCGGAGACAAGGTATTTTTTTTATTTTTTTTTAATTCTCATTTGGTGAATCTATCATCAAACCCAAGTAGCCATATAGTGTAATTTATTGTTTATATTGCGTCCCTCTTCCCATTGTAAGAGCATTGTTATTGTAGTTAAGATCTGAAATGTATATGATTACACGCACGCATTTGGCTTGAGGTTCAATTTGATGGCAGGGCATTATTCCTGTAATTTCCAGATTTCCTTGATTCTATGTAGACATTGATGGAGCTTATTTTGGAACTACATTTCCGCATGTCTTTCTTATGACTTACGGACAGCTGAAGCCTCAAAAGCCCTTGCAGAGCTATGTACCTAGAGTTTTCGGCTTCAAAATTCATAAGCCATGAAGCTGGAATTGCAAGCTTTTCATGAAAGTGAAAGTATGTCCATGTTTTAACTATGTCGTACAGTGGTTTCACAGGGGGTGGGGAAGCTATGTATTGTAGAATTTCTTGCAACGTTCAGCAGATCATAAGGCCTTTGAATGATTACAATCTGGATCTCTGTTTTATTTATCTTAGGCCTGTGTTGTATAGAAATATGCAGACACATTGCATGAGTGCGTGATTTCAATTTCATCTTTATATTTTATGAGCTCCGTTGGTTTGTTTCTAATTAATTTTATACAAATTGTTGCACTTTATGCTGATATTGATTGTTCATCAAGTAACTGATCCCCTTGCATATAGATTTCATCATCTGTTCCATCACCTGCGTGGCATTGCAATAGTTAAGTCTGACCTAAGTAGATTCAGCCGCCGATTTTATATATTCAAGGCTGCCTATTTAAACATTCTGTTTAATTATTGTATGGAACAGCAGGATGTTTTTCAAGCCTGTTTCTCGGAGTTGTCTAATTGGCGGCTCTCCTGATAGTTATCAAAAGTTCCTTGCTTCTCACAACGGATTCCATTTCCCCCCTTCTCTGCATACTTCATTCCTATATTAGTATTAGGAAAAATTAA